CATACTCTGAAAATGTGGTAGTGCCTTGTCATCGCGAGCCGGGGGTGCCAGCTTACGCCTCGCTCTCCTCGATAATATGCTACGAGACGCTCACTTATTTCCACCTCTTGGACCTTTGAGGCGACGTCTCTCTCACCCGTAGAATGTGAGAATGGTCACCAAATCCCGAGAGAAAGTCCGGGAAAATCGTGAGAGTATCCGAACATCAAAGACAAAGCCGAAGTCGCGGCTAGGGATGTGGACGACGCGCCTAACTAGCAACAAGGGACGGTTTAGGCCCAATGTAAGTCTCCGAGCCGAGCTGAAAAATGCGCTCCGATTTCACACCCCCTTCCTGCGGGGGTTAGAAGGCGATTCCCCGGCTATTTGGAGCTATTTAGACCTATTCAAGGGCTATTTAGAAGAGTTAGAGAAGACGGGATATTATGAGGGAGATGTCGAGACGGTTTCCCCAAAGGCGGTGCATTATTGGAACTTATGTGACCGTCTCCACACAACAACGACTCGGAGGAAAATGGTATAATGAAAATTCGTCTCTCTCTCTCTCCTCTCTCTCTCTCTCTCTCTCTCTCTCACTCTCTCTCTCTCTCTCTCTCCGCCGTTGGACCCCTCAAGGTATTCGCTCACAGGAGGTCGTTATAAGTCGTCCAATTAGGTCGTATATTGATAGTGAAGCAGTTTAACGCACTGGCAGAAGCCTCGGTTTACTCAGGGGATCACACTAAGAGCCATACCCAGCAGTGAGTGGATCTGAGGGCAGCGACTCGCCAAGAGCACGGAGGAACTCAAACAGATCGTCAGGGGATTTGAGGGAAGGGCTTTGTTGCACGACACTGTCTCCTCCTCCTCCTCCTTCTTCCCCTCCTCCTCTTCCTCCACCTCCACCTGCTCCTCCCTCTCCTCTTCCTCCTCTTCGCCTCCTCTACTCACAGATAAACGTTCCCATCGCTTAACTTGATACTCTCTCGCGCATGCATACATACATACATACATACATACATACATACATACATACATACATACATCTGAGTGCAGTATCGTACAGGAAACGTTTCACTACAAGTCTTCCTCAATATCTTCCTCCTCCGCCACACAACAAATAATGAGAACACCGAGGGACAGTTTTACACCTCAGGGCTATTATCCAATCAGGCAGGCAGGGGGTGGGCGTGGGGCCAAGTGAGGAGGGGCCAGATGGGAGGGGGGGTGGGGGGAAGGGGAGAGCCAAGTGGGGAGTGGAGCCAGATGGGGGAAGGTGGGGACAGATGGGGGAAAGGTGGGGTGGTGTGGGGTGTGGTGGCTAACCTAATGGCACGCGACCAACCTTGTGTTCTTGTCCTCTAAAGCACACCTGGTCGTGGAGGTGAATCACGCCTTTAAAAGTGACGTCAAGAACTGAGAAATCGTTTAAGACAAATGGATAAGATTGTGAAGATACTTGTCAAGTAACTTTATATTTTAACAAGTATTTTATAACACGTGAATGATGTATAAGTGATGAAGGGTAATGCAAAGTGACATAGAAGGACTTGATATGTATTATATATTTAAGTGTAAATCTTTGACGCATATATAAAAGAATAGTCCCACACTCATCAGTTACGTGAAAATGGATATGATGATAAAGAGTGCCAACAGTGCCACTTATAGGCAGCTGTCACACACACACACACACACACACACACACACACACACACACACACACACACACACACACACACACACACACACACACACACACACACACACACAAAACTCCCACACAGGCAAGGGCATCAATGAAAAATACACAGAAACATGTGAGAGTTGCATATAAACATGAGTGAGTGAGGCGGGAACACGAGTAGTATCAATGTATGCATGAGCTGAACATATCGGCATGATGTTCCATGATTCACGCCGCCGTCACCACCGCCACCACCAGGTGTGTTCGGGGCGTCTCTTCCTGCCTCCCGGGGTGTGGCGTGTCTTTACCCATGTCAAAGGTCATACCCTGGGGAGGAAGGGGGAGGAGGAGAAGGAGTGGGAAGAGGAGGAGGAGGGGAAGGAGGGCAAAGTCTAGTCCCTCAGTAACTGTTTCTCCTCATTGAAAACCTGATAAAGTATACTGGTAACATTCCTCCTCCCACAGACTGCCTGAAGGAGGGAGAGAGGACCTGTTGATGGCTCCTAGGGGGCTTCCTCCTTGATCCTCGTCCTTCCTCTGCACGATTATACCACATCCTATAATACTTCAGACTCCTATACGTGTTAAGAGGATCATTCCGGGTGTTCACAAAAGACGTGATGCTGTACTGTCTTTGGAACAATGTTAGTACAGGGGACAATATCAGTTGATGGAACTATAAATCACTAATATCATGGCAGCTATAACCTAACCTAACCTAACCTAACCAAGAAACCAAACCTCACCCAACCTAGGCCTGGGACCCACCATACATACAGTCACTCTCAAATACCCATCCCTCAAACGCCTTAACTTTCTGTGCCCGTGTTATACAAATCTGCTTTAATCTGAAGAGTAATGGGGCTGCCTTACTCACCTCCTTCTACTGTAACACCATCGTCTCATATGCCTCTTCGTAATTCCTTTCTCTCTCTCTCCTTTCTTCAGTATTGTTTTATATTCTCTTTATTGTCTTGCTTCTATCTATCTTTCTTGTGTTATTGTTATATATTTTCGAGACTATGATGATCAGTTTTCAAGGTCATGTTTGGATAAAATTCCTTCTTTGTTAATTCCCCCATTCCTTCCTCATTCCTTCCTTCCCCTCTCTCTCTCATTCCCTCCTTCTATCCCTCCCTACCTCCCACCTTCATTGCCCCATTATGAGTGACACCCTATGACCCCGAGTTACTGTCTGGGGGTTCACTACTGACCCTCACACTGCCCTGCCTGACACTTGAGAGCCATATACCCCACGGCCCTCACCTCTCACCCTAACCCCTACTCAACCTGGTGTAGGTGTGGGTGTCAGGGGTGTGGGGTGAGTGGTGTTGGTGTGGGGTGAGTGGTGTTGGTGTGGGGTGAGTAGTGTTGATGTGGGGTGAGTAGTGTTGATGTGGGGTGAGTAGTGTTGGTGTGGGGTGAGTGGTGTGGGGTAATTGGTGTGGGTGAGTTGGTGTGGGTGTCAGTGGGAGAGGTACATGGCGGGGGAGCAGGACCCGACACCCTCGCACGTGGGACCAGAAACAAGACCCTGGGATGCTGCTGCTCGCCTTGTGTTACGCCTCACTCCTCGGGTACACCCTCACACTGCACGGCTCACCTCACCCTCACACATCACCCTGCCACTCTCACACGCCACCCTGCCACCCTCACACGCCACCCAGCCACCCTCACACGCCTTCCTGCCACCTTCATACATCACCCTGCCTCAAAATCATCAGTAGTCCCATATAACTGCTAGAATAAGATGTCAGAAAAGATAAACATTTCTATGAACTTAAACTGTCGGCCCACCTGAAGATAAGACACCCTAATGCTACCTGGTGGAGTTAGGTTAGGTTAGATAGACATCCTCCCATTCATCCGTACATCTATCTATCTATCTATCTATCTATCTATCTATCTATCTATTTATCTATCTATCTATCTATCTATCTATCTATTTATCTATCTATCTATCTAACTATCTAACTATCTATCTATCAACAGTAGAACACGGAAGAAAGTGAAGACCTTGCTAGTGTAGGTGGCGCCTGTAGGAGGAGGAGGGAGTAACTCATTTCAATGTGTGTGTAGGGGTGTGATGGCCAGTGGTGGTGGGGGTGAAGGGAGGAAGGATAGGGGAGTGGGGGGGAGAGGTAGCAGGGATGGAGAGCAGGGAGTGGCACAGGGTAGAGGGAGAGGAGAAGGGGTGGGGGCAAAAGGAGGCAGGGGTGGAGAGGAGAAGAGGCAGGTAGGGGTGAAGGACAAGGGAGAGAATAGGGGATAGAGGGGAGAGGAGGTGGCGGGGATGTGAGGGAAGAGTGTGTGGAAGGGTGAATGGAAAAGGAGGTGGCAGGGTGTATGGTGAAGTACGTGGGAGGTGGACAGAGAGAGAGGAGGGGGAGAGAAGGAGAGAGGGGGGTTGGATGGGGGTTGGGCTTAGATTTTTCACGATAATTCGACACCAAAAGACATAAACACATCAACTTGTCACATCTGATCCACGTTTTTACTTCTTTTCCTCCCTAATGGTGAACGAGGGAGACGAGGCATACTTCAAGGAGGGCAGTAGGGTCCTTTGTCACATGTGTTGAGACTATATAACAGCTTCAATCATTACTAACCTCTAAATAATCGCTTCTTCCTTTATCCTTATCTTCCTTATCTTACAAAACTAAAGATAAACAAAAGGAAGAGCTATATTAATTAAATATCTATGGATATAAATAAATTCTTGAGATTATTATAAGGAAAAATGTCAACTTTCGCTTCATCATCTCGTACGTGGTTGAAGCCTTGATTACCTATCATTATTGGGACACCGTCTGGGGTAACTACTGAAAGTCTGAAGGTAATTACTGATATATAATTACATTGTTTTAAAGAGGAAGAAATAAAAAAGGGAGAGAGTGAGACAGACAGAGAAGCAACCAAATAAACAGACAGAGGAACAGACAGACAGACAGACAGACAGACAGACAGACAGACAGACAGACAGACAGACAGACAGAAACAGAAATAGAGAGAGACAAACAGACTGACACTGAGAGAGAATGAGAGAGAGAGAGAGAGAGAGAGAGAGAGAGTCATATAACAAGGTCGTGCCAATAAAACGACCATGACCAGACAGCCGCCAATAACAGTCACTAATAGCAAAGCTCAAAGACGGACCGTCCCGAGACCCGGGTATAGTGGCACTAATTTACGAGTAGTAAAAGGGGAGTGGCACTCACGAGTAGTGGCACTAACCCTGGTAAAGTAGAAGGTAGTGCCACTAACTTATATATGATATGTGTTAGTATATGGAACCAGTAACTCTTATATAATAACAACTGGAACATTAACTTACGTGTAGTAGTGGGTCGTGGGCGGCGAGGAGGGTGGTGGGCGGTACGGAGGTAGGCGTGGAGGGGTCGAGGGTGGCGTGGGGCGGGTGGGCGTACAGGGCACTGGCTAGTCGCTGGTACGTCATCAGGTCATACCCGCCCACACCCATCCCACCTACGCCCACACGGAGAAAAAAATAGTTACAAAATTGAAATGACTTTTTTCTTCATAATTTAAGATAATTATTAAAGAAAGAAAATATTTAATAATTAATCTTTACATTTATATAATTAAAACAATTTATTACTTCACATAAGAGAAAATTTTACGATATATTTTTTTTTTAAATTACAAATATTGAAGAAAAAAATAAGTGAAAAAAAAATTATTATAAAAATAATCCATAAGTTTATCTCACAATTAAAAACAAAACACAAAGCGATATCATCAATCATGTTATCTAGACGTCACACTTCGCTATCATCAACCAGTGAAGAGTATGATATAGTTTGTGATATCATCGAATAGACAAGATATCTCACTCATATATAACACAAGAGGTGATAGCAATATGGGCGCTTCATGGATGGTAGAGTCTGTGTTGCGTTTGATGTTTATGTTGCTGTGGGTGTTGATGTAGATGGTGGATTGTGTTGCCCTGGGTGGTGGATTGTGTTGCCGTGGGTGGTAGAATGTGTTGCTATGGGTGGTAGAATGTGTTGCTATGGGTGGTGGATTGTGTTGCCCTGGGTGGTAGAATGTGTTGCCCTGGGTGGTGGAATGTGTTGCCCTGGGTGGTAGAATGTGTTGCCGTGGGTGGTAGAATGTGCTGCCATGATGACTACTACCGTGTGTTGCCATATCTACTACCCCGTGTTGCCATGCTTATTACCATCTGTTGCACTGACCTGGTAGAGGCGGTGGCTCTCTGGGTTCACACGGGCTTCCTACAGCACTGCCGCTTGAGGACACCACCAGCTGTAGAAGGAACAACATGTATTATATGTATATTATGTAGAGTTAGTCAAGGTAAGAAACATAGGTATATATACTCTCTCTCTCTCTCTCTCTCTCTCTCAGGTGACAAAGCATTATTATTATTATTATCATTATTATTATTATTATTATCCTTCACCTGACACAACAATTACGTGGTCCTCCTCAGGTGTAGAAATGTTGACGTAACAATTACAACATTCACGTCACACCTGAGGCAAGATTTATGCCTAGCGTCATAAACTTTCACTCACCTGCTACCTTGTCATACATTCTAACCTCATACACGCTGTCATACACGCTGTCATACACGCTACCTATCATACACGCTAACTGTCATACACGCTAACTATCATATACCCTAACTGTCATACACGCTAACTGTCATACACGCTACATGTCATACAGGCTAACTATCATACAGGCTAACTGTCATACACGCTACATGTCATGCAGGCTAACTATCATACACACTAACTGTCATACACGCAAACTGTCATACAGGCTAACTGCCATACACGCTGCCATACACGCTAACTGTCATACACGCTAACTGTCATACACGCTAACTGTCATACACGCTACCTATCATACACGCTAACTGTCATACACGCTAACTGTCATACACGCAAACTGTCATACACGCAAACTGTCATACACGCTAACTGTCATACACGCTCCTCTCCACCGCTGACAGGCATTAACGAGTGACACAACACCTGCGGCAGTGAATGAGGTCCGCCTGCACCCACATGTGTCACGCCAGACCCACGCCCGAAGACACACGCCCGGGGACACACGCCCGGGGACACACGCCTAGCACCTGCCCTTCCACGTCCACTTTATGACCAGGTAGTGGAAGCGTGTTGGGAAGGGGGGGGGGGCCTTGTGTGTGTGTGTGTGAGGGGGTAGACAGACAGACAGACAGACAAATAGAAACAGACAGACAAACAGTAACAGAAGACATAGACAGTAACAGAGACAGACTGAGACAGATAGACAGACAGACACGACAGACAGACACGACAGACAGACAGATAGACAGACAGACACAGACACAGAGTACAGGTGAGCAGGTAAACAAATATAAGATAAATCTAACAAATAAACAGGTAAGTCGTACGATTAACCTTAAATATTATCCCCATCAAGATCAGACAGGCAACAGGTGAGCTGGAGTCTCAAGGTGAGGTTTGTCTCATCAGTGTGACAGATTCCACCACAGGTAATAATAATAATAATAATAATAATAATAATAATAATAATAATAATAATAATAATAATAATAATAATAATAATAATAATAATAATAATAATAATAATAAATTTCTAAGGTAAAGACATGATCTTAATTATTCACGGTGTTAATTAATGACATTATTGTATGTATAAGAAATGAATTAATCTTCTTTGTTCTATGTTTTATCAATATATTACCTTGTTGTTCTTGTAAGTTCTTGTTCAAACTGTTATTACCGTCATAAGTAAGCAGGTGAGGACAGGTGAGGAGTGGAGTGGAGTGGAGTGGAGTGGAGTGTGGTGGGGTGGGGTGGGGTGGAGTGGGGTGGGGTGGGGTGGGGTGGAGTGGGGGATAGTTGTTGTTTTTTTTCACCAATTACCAAAATCCTAAAAAGCATTTCCTCCCTCTGGCGTGAATTCCGGAACCCAACACCACCACGACCGTCGCAATAAAACGTCAATCAGTAGTACGGAGAACAATTAGGTCTGTGATCACGATTCACCAATCTTTTCTGTGTGTGCCGGGCAGACCAATCTGTTGGGCAAACACGACTCAACCTGCTGATGAATGTTCGATCAGTAGCTCTTGTGTTCCCATGCTGACGGCTGTGTCCATCTCCATAAACACTGAAATGTCAACTCGACGCTTACAATTGTCGGATTATTTTAGTTCGCGTTACCATGAAGCATTTTGAAGTGAGTGTGTATGTGTGTGTGTGTGTGTGTGTGTGTGTGTGAAGCCGTCAAGGGACAGAGGTATGACACATGTCCGGTCAGTGGTCAGGTGTGAGTGATGACCTACACCCGTCGCCCCCCCTGACACCTGTTATTGTATATACCTGGCCTTGTCGCCGCACCTCCCGGGACTCGTGCCATACATCCAGGTATAATGGCGGTGCAGGGGTGTAATATGACGTGAGGTGGAGGCCATTCTTACCTGGTCTCACCTGACTACGAGGGAGGAGGAAGGTAGGAAATAACTGCAGGTGAGTAGAAGAAGAAAAAGGGGAAAGTTGTTTGATAAAGAGGAGGAGAAGGAGAAAGAGAGAGGAGAGGAAGAGGAGAAGAAGGTGTATAGGGAGAATGAGACAAAGGGTTGGGTCTCAAGAGAATCAAAAAAGGGAAGAAGAAGAACAACCTCAATAACATGGTGTGTAAGAGATACGACAGAGGTTAAAGTAAATGGAGAATGAAGAAAGGAACAAATGACATAAATAGAATCAGTTTAAAGCAAATTCAGAGAGAGAGAGAAAGAGAGAGAGAGAGAGAGAGAGAGAGAGAGAGAGAGAGAGAGAGAGAGAGAGAGAGAGAGAGAGAGAGATATCCTCCATATACCTGAGAAAGTAATACCAACACGGGCAGGTTTGTTCCGTGTAACCCAACAATGTTACCAAATATACGCGTAGAGAGGGCAGAGTGGGCAGGTGGTGAGAGGTCAGAAAGGGCTGGGAAAGAGGTGGTGAAGGGGGGCAGGGGGCAAGAGAGGGCTGAGGGGAAGGTGACGAAGGGCAGGAAAAAGGTTAAGGATGTGGTGAAGGGGCAGGGCAGAGGTGGTTGAGAGGGAAGTGGCAGAGAGAAGAGGGGAAGAAGGGGAAATGTGAAGAGGCAATCAAGGAAGGAAATAAATACACCTAGGAGAAGATAAATGGAAAGAGGAAGATATGATAAAGACAGGAATGGATAAGATACATATGAAAGGGGAGTGAAGGAGAGGAGACGAGAGATAGAGGAAGAGAGGGTGAGGCAAAGAGGGTAGAGAAGAAGGGGAGAAGACTGGAATTAGGTAGATATGAAAGGTGGGTGTACACAGGTGTCTCGTGAGGTGAGGGGATGGATGAGCAGGAAGATGAAGAAGAAGGAATAAGAGAGACAGAGAGACAGACAGACAGAGGGACAGAGAGACAGAAAGCACGACTGTCACAAATATTCAGCCTCCCCAAAAAGTCAACACCTATGATATGTATAATAGAAAAAACATAACTATGTACAGATCGGCTCGTATGTTCGGTGTCTCGGTCATAACTAAAATGAGGACAGGGACTGGCTCCATTAACACCCCTTTTTTTTTACTATCAGTGTGAGTGAAGTAATCATGTCAATACGTATCTTTTCCAGAGTTTATTTCAATTTTTTTTACCTGGCTTGACAAGGTTATTTTCAACTAGGGACGGAAGGGGGGGAGGAGGGTCAAGAACGATGCATTTGTAACTGCTTCCTCACACACTAAAAGAAAAAAAAATATTCCCATTTTGCCTCTGTTGTTTTATCGTCACTGGAACCAAATACTGATATGTTAAGTCGCTTTGTCCTGAGGGTGTGTTTCTGTGTTTTTTTCTTGGTCAGATATATGTACTCCAGCAATTCTATCTCAATTTCCACCCAAAAGTCAATTCCAGCGTAGTTTGGTCTTAGTGTTGGGTTATTGACAGGGGGGCGTGGTTGTTCACGGTGATGTGAGTGACCACTGAGCCAGGTAGCCACCGCGACTGACCGAGTGAAGGCAATGTGATATCAATGTTGTGGTCCTAGACTTTTATTGCAACACCTGTGACTTATAAAACCATATATATCATACTTGTATTTATTGTATCACGGGGGTAAACAATATAATCCATTCTCTTTTTTTTCTTTTATGGCATAACAATATATTTGTCTACTTAACTTAACTCTCTGGGTATATAGCGAGGAGGATCAATGTTAACAGCTATTTAATCGTATCGAAAATGTGTTGAAAATATGTTTTTTCCTATAAATACGCACCATATCACACCTCGAAAGCTATTGCAATGCATTTTCCCGACAAATATCTTACATTTCATCGTCCGACATTTATTCCAAATATACTTTACCTACAAATATCTTTATTGTCACTTTTGGAAATTTATGACAAGTATACTTTACCTTTAAACAACTCACATGCCAATATTTGGAAATCTATGCCAAATGTGTTTTTCTTACAAATATCTCAGTTTTCACTTATTGAACTTCAACCTAAGTATACTTGTACCTCCTCGCCGTCTCTTTGTCTCTCTCCTCAGGTGTACGAGTCTCACCTGTAATTAATTAATCCCACGTACACAATGACAGGTAAGACAGTAAATGGGATAAAAGTGTCAAGTGAGGAGGAGAGTTTAGAATATGAACAAACACTCAAATACACGCTAGAACACACACACACACACACGCACGCACACACACACACACACACACACACACTATCAGCGGCCGGGGGCAGGATGCGTGCAGAAAGGCCATCCTTCCCAGCACCATCTGCGGTAGAGCTGTTACCTAATGAACCACACCGACCACCACCACCATCACCACGCAACCTACCACTATCCATAGCACCCCCTATTCCTACCACGCAATATAACTCTATCCGTAATACTACTGCCCTTACGATTACCAATGTCCCTTTCAACCACACTGTTACCACCACTACCACCACACAACCACATCCAACTACTACTACTACCACCAGCAGACTGCCACCACCACCACCACCACACAACCACATCCAACCTCCAGCACACTTAACCTCCTCTACCTCTCACCTCTTTCAACCTCCAGCACACTTAACCTCCTCTACCTCTCAGCCCATTCCTTAAGCCGTTTTATAACCTCTTAAGCTTAACCTCAAACACGACTATACACACCTGTCCATGACGTCACTACTCCCTTCACCTGCTCACTCAAGAGGTTAGGTTATTAATCACTCGATGTCAGATATACTCACACACCTG